GCCACAAGGCATAGAGCAAGCAACTGAAATCCCAAAGAGCAGCAAATGTTTGCATGTGCATTAATTTACTACAAGATTGCATAAATGAGTAATAGATCAGTAAATTTGTAACACTTTATATTATATTAGCCTAGTTTTAAAGAAAAACCGGATTTGATAGGACTCACAAGTCGCATTTTCCCAAACTTACAAAGCAATGTCTCAAACAAAAAGGCAAAAAGCAGAACCCAATGTCTTTTCACCTTAAAACTGATAAAAGCAACTATGAAGCAACAATTGTTTGGATAGATAATCTTTGAAATTTTAAATCAAAAATAAAAAATAAAACAAATAAATTAGCTTACTCATTCTCCAGACAAGTACAGATAGGACGAGGCAGTGACTAAGAAGAACTCTTTCTTGAGCAACAACTGCTTTCCGCTCAACAACTGCACCTTTGAAGTCAATGATATAGCGTTCAGAATTAGGTCCACCAAAACCAGCTGGTTCTTCCCGATTTAATTCCTATTCGTGATGTGAATATAAAAATTAAAAATGTTGTTAATTTCAGTCTTGAAAGGGATATGGAAAACCAAAGAAATAAGACGGAAAATTATTGTTACAAGAGTATCACACTCATTCAGAACATAGTTTCAAGCATATAAGCGAGACAATGAAGATTGGAAACAAACATACCAACCTTTATGAGTGCAATAAGCCTCTGCCTAAGCCCAGAGTCAAAAAGTTCTTCCAGATATTTCTGAATATCGGCCAAGGTATCAGCTTCCAGTCCATTATCAAGTACAACAGCCTAAAGTACAAAAGAATTGGACAAAAAGATTAAAAATCAAGTAGAATAAAAAAGGTGAAATTTGCATTTTAAGCATGGATTCATATGCAATAGTTAATCATGGATTCAGATGAAATAGTTTATGCAAACTACCCGTAAAAGGGCGTGTAAGGAGGTTATAACACTCCTTCTTTCCATGTACCATAGGCCTGCTGCAAGTCGGTATATCTCCAATGGCTCTCGCCCAAAAAGAATCCACTAGAGAAAAAACTAATAAGTAAATATAAATTTCAATAAACAATGTATAACAATCATCAGTAAATAATGCTTACAATTGCAAAAAAAATTAAAAAGACATCTTCATACCTCCTTATTGGTCGTAACAAGTAGCTGGACGCACTCAATTTCATTAAGATTCAAATCGTCACTTAATTTCAAAGCCTGTATGAAAAAGTACAGGTAAGTTCATGCAAAAGCCTGTGATTGCCCACAAGGTCTGAGCACAGAACTTTCAAAACAATATTTGTCAGAAACCACACAGATATATACAAAACAAAAGAAAATAAGTATAACGCCGTATAAGATTTAAAGCATAAGAAATAGGAAATCATTATGCCATAA